AAAATGAGACATTAAAAATGAACCATGTTACATGTGTCTACCACTTTTGGTCAGTTAAAGACCATAGTTTAAAAATTTTGTCATGAGTGGTGCAATATTTATGGAAGTCACTGTATAAGGCTCCCGTATGTTTGTAACACAGTGAACAATGAGTGCCAAGAAATTCGCGGATTTAACGTTTCAGGTATGTTTTTTTGCGGTCATAGCGAATTTTAGAAAAAATTATTTTATTGTTGTATGACTGCATAATTAGCTTTTCTTGATTTAATGATTGCGATTATTATAAAGGTGATATTTTGAATAATAATAATATATGGCGCGTTTTGCTGCAACAAAACCAAAGTATACATTTGATATTCAGTGTCGAGTTTTAAACATAGACATACAAGTAGACATAATTCCTACATCGGAAAGTGGCGCGCTATAGAATTTTTGCGTGTTTGAGTGACACAAAGTGTTGTCTTGCTACATACAATGACCATCGCGAACCTATTTTCTCGTTTCTGTTAGTCCATAATTAATATAATCACTTGTTCTCGCTAGCTCTGGACACATACTTGGCCCAGAACGAACAGTTGAGTTTTACATTGGTCATGCACAAAAAAATTTGGTTTAATCTCGTCTGTGAATTAAAAAGAATGTGTAGAGCTAGCATTGTCGTCAAAATCACGCGCCTGAACTACTTTCATTTTAAAAACAAGCCACAACGCATTTCCTATGGATACCATACATTGTTCATAAGTAAAATCTAATATATAAATCAGCAACGGAATGCGATCTCCAAAGAGAGAAATATAACTAAAAAATTAAAATCGTAATTTACAAGGACGATGCCGGTCCCGGCTGCTTGCAATTAACTCCTTGAAATTTGGAGTAGCGAGGGTATTGCGCTTGTTTGATTCTATTTCAACGGCGGCATTAGACTTCTGACAATTTGCCCAGTATGCATTGGTGGTGATGAGAAGCGTGTCAAGGCTGGAAAGGAAAGCAGGAATTTGTTCGAGTGACATTGGAACGTCGAGATGACCGATCTCCGCCATAACATATAGACCATCGCACAAGAGAGTAGTGAGGTAGAACGAAATATGTTGTCCTATGAAAATTTGTTCAGTGATGTTTGATGTAAAATAGAAAGAGAGAAAAAGCCACTATGATCTTACCTACTACTTGAAACCCAAACATGCACCGCATTTTGTAAAAGTCAATCCCGTCTTTGTTGAATACAGCAACTCTGATGAGATCGGCACTGAGGCTATAGAGATTATTTGCTTCCTCTTTCACCTTAGCCTCGCCATGTCCCATACTGGAACCCCAAGACAATTGTTCAATATTGTTTATGATGGCATCGGATTGTTTCGCCCTACCCGTCAACTTCCTTGCCTTTGACTCGGGCGCTTCTTTATTTGACCTGCAGTTTTCTATAATTGGAGATTGCATATACTGGTACTGTTAATGATAATAAATCATTGAGCTTACCAACACAAAAAAATATCACGATCAGGGTCTGCGATAATTGGACTCAGGACTGGATCAATATATGTAGTGCAAAGTTCAACTTCCCCAAGGGGGCTGCTCAAGGTGATTGTAGGAACTCTTTCTATACTAGTAATAGAAACAAAAAGGCGTTAGATGCCATGAAGGGCTTCTCGTTTATGCTTTAGCGCAATCTTACATGTTTTTGATGGCCTTTAAAATAGACACTTCTCCATAAGAACGACCGATCATGAGTGTCTGAAGTTCTGTAACTGCAATATTCCTTGTGACCTTTCCCTTCCGCAGTTGCTGTAACAAAAAAAAAATTATATTAAGAAAAAATTTTCCATAGTATAGAGAAAGGAAAAAACCATACCTTGACAATCAGTGTAAGTTTTGTAAAAATCTCGAAGTCAAATTCTGTCTCCTGTTCAGTGAATCTCTCCAGCATGTCTTTGTGCATCATCTCCAATAATTCAGTACTGAAAACTACCATCATTAATGAGGAATGTTGTTTTGGTTTTAGCAGGAGAACGTGTGACAAGGACCTACAAAGTAAAGTAATTGCAATCAGACTTTATGATAACTCAGCAAGACAAAGAAATTGAGCACATACAATATTTCCTGCGTGTGGCTCTCTGCAAAAAGCCCCTTCTCCATTGCCAATTTCAATGATCTCTGTTTAAATTGATGCCACCTTTCCGAGACATCGATCTCGTTTATGAACCATTTAGACTCTTGTCGAGGTGGGGGTCCCAGCTGCAGTCCCTTAACATCATTGATGATAACTGGACAGTCTACGTGGCACAATTCCAGTCACGTCCGATTCATCGTCTTCGTCAACATCTGATTCCGAAACGCTTGTCTAAAATAATAATAGTGGCACATTAACGTTGGAAATAAATTTGCGGCAGAAACACGTTATAAAATTGACCATTCACTCCAACTTACCTGCAATTCATTTTTTTTTACCTCCTTGCGAAGCTCACGAGTCAATCGTCTTTTGGCTGAATCACATGGTGAGTCGTCACTGTCGCTTTCATCATGGATCACGCTGCGAGGCCTTTTCTCCAAACCGATGCCACACTCCTTATTGACTCCGCTCTATGAAGGAGAATGTAAGTTAGTCGCGTAGACAACCGCTTGTTTTTGAGTCTTGACGAAACATAAATATATGCATGACTTAAAAACATACCGATATTCCAATAATCGCAACACCCACTTTCGAGTTGTGAAAGTTAACCGAGGGTCTATTACTAGCCGTTCTGGTCGACGTATACCATTCTTTCGCTCTTTGACGATCAGCCTAAAACCTCCAAGAAGAGTCTAGAAATTAGTAATATGCTCAACCAGCAGTCTATCTTACATGTATTCCCAGAATCCTATTCCCAGAATCCCACCGGTTCAACTAGCAGTCTTTAGACATCAGCCAACCTAGCAGGTCGCCTGTGCCCCGATGGGGCCGGTGCCGGGTCAACTAGCAGTCTTGAATGATAAGGAAACTAGCAGTCCCCTTACACGCCACTACTTCCTACTTAACATTCAACATTTCAAAGGGAAAAAAAATTATCACTTGCCGTCATATAGCTGACGATAAGTAGCTGAGCTTTTTCTTGTCGCTTGCCTTGCTCAATATTGGCGAGGACTCTGAGGTCTTTGATATATGAATCCAATTTCTGTTCGAGTGGCACCTTCTCTTTATCCTCATCCAAGAACCCAATAATGTCCCATTCCGCAGACTTGCGATTAAAGTAAGAATTCTTGACTTCTGGACAGGGGCTAAAGATGGTTGATAATAAAGAGAGCTGTGGATCAAAGTCGAACGCAATTCACGAAGCTCACCAGGATAATTAGACATCTGTTAGACCAGGGATCTTATCACCCCCAGACTGACTGCCAGATAAGGAGTAAAGGTATTCGGAGTTTGATTATAGTTAGTACCCTTCAGAAACAAGAATCCTATACCTTGCGAGCGGCCAGGCGCGTTCTAATATGGGGGTGAAAAATGGTTTGATCAACGCGTCAGTGGTTTGGTTTGCACGACCGAAATGTGTGACAGGTGACCGTCAATTGTCTCCCCAAAATTCATCGAATTCATTATAAAATAATTCGGAAATTTATTAACAAGTTGTTATTGAATTTTAGAAAAGAATATACACACCTTGTGGCCAATATACAGTATTTCCAGAGCATTACGTTCAGCCCTTGAATCGTCCGTGAGGAAAAATCGGACCTACTTGTGGACCATGTCCGAAAAAGGCATATCCAGGAAGAATCGTTTTCAATAAATTTATCGCCTTTTCTAATGTGATTCCGAGTTCGTCTGAAGTAATAAATAGTCCGAGCGGAAGGGCACCGACCGCGCAGCTAGTATAGAGGAGGGTAATCGACATGTTAAGGTGTTCGAATGAAGCCGAAGCGTCCATATAACACAACTCGCGTGCTTGTGGAACTTTCTCATGCACTCGCTGCATAAGACACAAAGTATAAATGCCTTTCCGGTTTGTGGCGTCAAATTCTTGCAAGCCGCTTTACCCCGACCTGAATTGTTGTATTCTTCGACCATTGACCTTAAGCGCTCAAACATCGATTTTCCATTACGACTGCCAAGTGCAGTCTCACGGTATTTTCGAAAAAGACGGAGAACAGTATCATAGTCCGGATTGAATGCTCGATCGGAAAGCATTTCTGATCGTTCGTAGTACGTGGTATTAAGATACAATTCATCTTCATAGGCACACAATGCGGATGTCCATTTTTGAATAATTCGACAAGTCTTTCGCAGACTTCGCTTTTGACACGGCGAAAACTGAGTGATTCCGCTGAATTAATTACATGGTTGTGCGTAAACTTAATATTAATTTCTAACGGATGACTATGTGTAAGTTTCTGGCGTTCCAATCGAAGATGAATACTTGCAGTACAATTGATATCACGTTCCCGAGGCGAATGCAGACGTTTTTTATACTATTTCCTTGTTTTTTCCTAACTTGATGGCTATGGATACAATGGCGTAATTGTCTAAAAAGTACCCTGTTTTCCGTTATTTTAAAACCTCTTGTTTGTGGCATTGTAGTCTTTGAATAGGATTCAAATGCTGCAAACCATTCTGATGCTTTTTCTTCGTTACATACATTTACGAATATGTCTAACTCGAAATTTTCAACTTCAAAGTTTTCTCGCGTTCGGTATGGCGATAGAATATCGAATATTTGTATTGAATAAGTACAATCACGAGGAAGAACCGGTTTCAAAATGTCTGGTAAAAGGCTCCAGGAAAGGACCTGCGTATGAAGAATAACATATAATAAAACATTAAGCACAAATTTAAAAAATTATAAAAAAGACCCCCCTATAATAGCGGTAACATTAACGATTAACTACGTAAAATTGTCATAAATTAACTAACAATAAAATTAACTAACGAAATTAGTCTATAAATAACAATCTAACAATACACAATTAAAGTTCAACTCTCTTTTAAAAAACATTGGAGTATGTGACGCCGAAGTATTTCAATTCGATTCAGATAAAGAAAGTGAAGGGAGCGTATATTATAACACGTCGGTGTATAGTTGACAAACCTGTTTAGTTAAGAGGTTTTGCTATTGCCATAATAATAAAGTAAAGGAGCAACCCCAATCTCTTACTGAAAAAGAATTAATTTCTCAATATTTCAGTTTTCACTTAGAAAGAGAACTCAAGAACTAGAAAAAGAACTGTCTTCTACCAAAGAGGCTTTAACAATAGAACAAGAGGAAGTAGCCAAATTTCATGAAAAATCTAAGGAGAAATTAAAGAATTAGAGACTGAAGTTGCTAGGTTAAAGGAAGAAAATAAATGACTGAAAGAGTAACAAAATGGTCATTTAACTACTCAAATAGAGGTCAAGGAAGTAAAGAAATGACCTTGAGCGAAAACAAAGAATTAAAAGAAATTTATTACATTATATAAAAAGTTTTCTTTGAGCTGATGACAGTGACATCAAATGTTCACTTTGTCTGGTTTTGTTGCAGCACGCCCCATATAATAGTAGTATGTGAGACATCATAACTTTATTCAATGGTAATAGGTTCTGAAATAAGCAATGCTTCATAATAAAGAAATAAATATTTTTTTCCTCATAACCTTGTTTTCTTTGTATAATCCGGGTATAACAGAACCAGCTGCTCACTTTTCTTCCTCAAACCACTTTCTATCTGACCCATTGTTTCACATGCTGTCCCAACTAGGGAAAAAGCAGTATATTGCTTTAGTACTTCGAAGTAGGTAAAATAACTATGCAAACCTAATACTAATCTCTGAAAATTTAATTTCCGTCTTCAACGTTCCTCATGCGCCTCCGCCTTATCTCAAATATAAATAGTAATAGGTATGTCAGCATTAGCCGTTTACGCAACAAACAAACAAATATACGTGTACTTGTGGAATATAGCACAGCCATACCACAATGAACCCACAAGTCATCAGGAAGATAGCCGCCAGTACCACTTCCCTGTTGTAATAGGCGAAACAGATTACAACAACCATGCAAAATTTTTCATAGTCATAAAATGTGAAAATTTCAACATAATAGAATGCAATGCTCATAACGTTACTAGTAATCGGACGTTGCGCCACTCATAAAGCATTTGGCTTTACCCCGACACGACGCATACACCCGAGGCGTTCAGTCTTACTGGACCAAACAAACATTATTGTGTTCGTTTTGAGCTCCGTTGCATAAGTCAGATGACAATTCTGTAATCAGGTGACATGCATGTTCTATGCACAACAATCTCTTAATTAGCAAATAAAATTGGGATTTTTGGCTTTTTCTCCACCTTTCAGTCTGTTGTATTGTCCAATTTTCACAAATGTAGCAAATTCTTTTGGAGCTTTATGAATAGTTAATTCTTTCAATATTGGAAATTTTCCCGTTATGCCTTGCGTTATTTCATCAAGGACGTGGTCTAATTCCAATATCTTCAAACATCCTCGCTCCAATTTATTGACCGCAAATTGGGAAAAGAGTTTATTATCATCTCCATTTGCGCCTTGAACGATACAAGCTTTGGACATCCCCGTGCCAAATCCGCAATGATGGAATGATACATCAGTTCATTAAACAATATACTATAGAACGCGAGGTACCGCAAGTTGGACAATTTTCCTTCTCTAACTGGTTGCAGCATTTTCTGCATCCAGATAAATCCACCAACGATTCACCGATAGTGAATTCTAGCTTGGTCAAATTTGTACAGTTTTTCAAATACATACACACGTACACACATACCACTGCATATAATGTAATGGTTTACCTGTAGATCAGGGTTTTCTATAATTTTGAAAATTGCAAAAAAAAATTCAAGATATATCATTTGGTGGATAACCAATACTTTAATTCTTGTTGATCAAATTAAACTACGTTTCTTATGAAAGTTAAACAAAGTAATGCCAACTGTCCATCCCACCATACCACTCCAACCCGCCTTCCATAAATTCCTGCGCAGTTATGGTATCATTTATAACCAATGCGCCAGCACCATGTCCACCGACCAAAGTTTCAAAGCATTCAAATCCCTGTAAAGAGAGCGATTTCTTAACCGTCTCTATCGTAACGTCTGGAATGCCTATTAAAGTAAAATTTAAGCATAATTGAACATTATACCAAAATCAGAATTTGCGCGTTCTTACCGTCTCGGATAAAAGTCAATGCGCAGCCACCGCCACCAGCTCCAGTTAACTTTGAATGTAATTCAAATTGAGCTGTAATCTCGCGTACTTTGTCTAGCGCCGGGTGGCCCACACCCAGTGAATTGATAAAATGATGGTTCAAATCTATCAGATCCTACAGAAAAACTATATATTAGCGTGTATAGAGGATTCAAACATATATATACTTTTAACAGACCTCGAGTATTGTATCCTGCGTAATGTTGTTGTCTATAAATGGGTCAGCGCTTTTGTAAATTGCAGTATAAAATAACAATTACCATCATCATACCTTCGTTGATAAGAACCGTTTTAAAATGGTCGCTAATGTTCTGGATTGCATCCAGTATTGGTTTGATAATCTCGGGGTACTAATAACGATATTCACGGTCAAAGATCATGTATTCAAATCCCACACCGTATAAGAACAGTAGTGCTTACTTTATCAAATTTTATCCTAACATTGGCAACCTGCGTTTTCGTATCGCGAGCAACTTTGGTGTTGGTAAGTAGAAAACGAAATGGGCGGAACCTTAAAAAAAAATATTTTAGAAATGTCATTCAATTCAACAAACGTCAATTACCGTATTTCTTTGACTACAGTGCTTTTTCCTGAGTACACGTATATCCATGTAGTAGAGTATCTTTGGTTCAAAAAATTTGCTACATAGATAACTGGACAAGAATTCAACAGCCCTATTCGCAGAGCGCGATTCAGTACTTGGGTATATGTAGGAGGTTGATAAGTTGTTACCTTTCCTTTAAACATAAAAAAAAAAGGTTTTATAGGAGACTATCCGTACCCTGGGTGTTTTTACTCGATTCTGTTTAGTCAAAGAAATACGGTAACTCGGCAATATTCTCGTGATACCCTTTCAGGGATTCCATTGATCCTTTCTTGTACAAGACAGCGCCGCCTTTAAAACTTGATATGTGTTAATTCTGTTTAGTCTCCCCAATGAACAAATGATAGCAAAAATGCTTTCTCGCTCACCGAATGTTGCGACTGCATTATCAATCCCGGACGGGTTACCATGAATAATCTTTTCCGCCAAAAAGGAGTATTTCTTAATCAGCTCTGCGCCTCGACTGTCAGGTGTAAGAGAAATGTATTCAAAGTTAAGCAACAGTCCTGTTGTCAAGCAGACCGAATATGAAGCAGATGAGCCCAAGCCAGCACCAACGGGAAGAGCTGAACGCACACGGATCGTCAATCCGCGTCTTTGTCAAAGTAGACAGTTAGCTGAAATGAACATTAATGTATGTGGGATATAAGCAAACGTAAAGCTTACTTGGTCTCGGGGAATCTACTTGAGAGGAGGGTGAAGAGATAAAGAAGGGCTAAACAAGCTACACTTTGTTGTTGGCGGACTGTAGCTGGTTTGTCGCTTTCGATTTCGGCAAGTGATTTGAGCGATTCGGCAAGTTCTTCGTTGAATTCCTCTAAAAAATGAGTAACTAATCAATACTATCCGGTTTTGGTCATCGAGTGTACGACAAACAAAAACGACATTTCTCCCGCGTCTATTATATACGTGGTGATTGAAAAGTTCTGACAATGGGGCTCCAGCTCAGCGAAAATTAAAAAACAAAAATTAAATTTTATACATATAGTCTCGAGTTCTCGTTGTCGAGGAATTGCTCTTTCCCTACGCCTTATCAAAACAAGTGTACGAGAAACAAAATGCTATGTTTTTTTATTTTTGGAAGAATGGTCATACTGTAACCAGAATACGTAATGCAATTACCCCTTCGAAGTTGAACAATACTCTGTATATTTTGGTTACATCGTGACCATAAAAATCATAGTATTTTGGATTTCGTAGGAGCCTGCTTTCAAAACGCACCACGTAGATAATTAGATAACCCATGACTTTTGAGAAATACTTTCTGCCACGCGTTACATACATTATTACTAATTGAACCCTGCATATTGACGATCTTCCTATAAAAGTTCTGAGACCCGGCGATATTGTTGTTTAATTAACATACCTTTCTTATCGTCTTCGACTTTTGAATATGGAAATAATTCAGTATTCCATTTCACTGGTTGATCCAATCCAATGTCTGGAACGTACGCTTCGAGCATCCCATCTTCTCTCTTTTCGATAAGCAAATAGGTCCGCAAATTAACACTTCCAGCAATAGCCGACTACACTTGTCATTTGATTAGTAAAACAATCCGTCATAAAACACTCCAAATACTTTTCTTACCGTGCCATAAACTACCGCATGTTCACCGAAAAGAATCACCTTTCCGGGTGCAGATACAAGATATCTCGTGGGCAAATTCTGAGACGATACCATTTGTGAATAGTGTGCGAGCTTTTTTTACAACAGTGAGATTTTTTCATCCATCAATGTATTACAATTATATATGTATACTGACATGTCGTACAATGTATAATTATCCGTCTTTCTCCTTTGACGTTCATATCCATCCTCCAATTAACTATACAAGTGTGTCTGTTTAATCCAATGAATAATCTCTCAATTAATTTATTATTATTATTATTATTATTATTATTATTATTATTATTATTATTATCATTATTATAATTATCATTATTATCATCATCATTATCATTAGCAAAATCATCGTTCCTGATACACAGAAAACCAGTTCCTAGGAACGATGATTCGGCTTATCATTAGTACTATCACTATACTATTATTACGAAATAATTAATGTCGACAGGTCCATGTTTTTTTTCGTAAAACTCGTAACATTAAAATTCTGATATGACAAATCTTTTTACATGTTAATAGCGAAAGCCATATGTATGCAATTTCGTTCTCATCTCGACGTATTACCCAAACTTCCAAGAAGTCGACTTTCTTTAAACGTCTTCAATGAGTCTATCTGAAGAAAAACACCCGAAAATCGGGTTTGTTCCCAGTGGTAGTTGAGCTCATCTCTTTCTTTCGATCATGAGATGACTCACTGACTTGCTCAGCCCTGTGATAATAACATGATAATAATTTATTAACATAACATGATAATAATAGTAACAATAACAAACAACAACAAATAGATTGAATACATACCATCCACGGATGAGCGGCGATTCGTAATATGTAAAAATTGGGTTCAGTATGCGACCAATGACATGCGTAACGTATGCTTGTTCATTGTAGTCACCGTTTTGGATTGCAGGTCTGTTACTCCAGATATCTTTTGTCTTTGATATTTAATAGACTGAGTATTAGTATTGGTATATTTGTCACATCAATAATAACATCACAAATTAATATTAACCACATATACTTACGATGCCAAGAGCAAGTCATGGTTGAGGTAGACAATGTCTTCTTCGTCTTTATCTACCACTGTCGGAAAGTTAACGGGACGCATTTATATTCCCTTTCAATCCTTTGAACAACTCCATAAACTCGTCAAGCATAGTTTCAACTACTGCAGGAAGTTTCACCCTCTTTTTATGTTCGTGCTTTTTTAACAAATCCAGCACACCTTCTTTTTCCTGCAGCAGTCTATTGATATGCCCGTCACCTCTCCCTGTGAGATCAAATATCCCACAAGCTAGTGGATCATCCGTATCGAAAGCATCCTTTGATTTTGGAATTTCAATTTCTGATAGCTGTAAAACCAAACAGATCAGGTGATTAGTTATTGGCATTTAAATGGTGCAATGCAGGCTTAGTCGTATTATCATAAGTTACTATGACTATTATTGTTGGACTCTAGAGAGCTCGGTATCCGACGTTCTGTCGATGAGGTACTCAAGGCATTGCCCGTAACAAAACTGACGCAACGCGCCCGGCATGAAACTCGATCTAGAGTCGCATGGGCCATGCATTAACCGACTATTCCCATGATACTGTGTCATCATTGACGTAAAGACTAATATAATTAGCATCAATAATTACCCGTGTTATTCTTTTAAACTTGTTCCAAACCTTCTCCACATCTTCCTTGTTTTTACTTGTGCATGAGCTACCGGCTTGGTTTTTTCCTCCTATTGCAAGGCTATGCAAATTGACAATGATTCCGTTCTATAAAATAAACACATAACATAAATATTTAAAGATTGGATGTATCAAAGTTTACGTAAAAACATACCCTTAACACTAATAGTGAGTGTATGAATTGTTCTGTTTTGCAACGAACCTCGTACTGGATTATGGCTACATCAAGGGAGAGGCGTGAGAGTGGCATCGATAGCAAGTAGACGTTCCGGAGCCATGTTTTAAAAAGTATATCGCGAGGAACTTTTATTCACAACATGTTTTAAAAAGTAGAACGTTAGACTTTTGCAAACAGTGGAGTGTATATCGTGGGGGGATGAGGCGTTTTTAATGGCTGAAAAGATTTTCTTAGATCAGCGATAAATATCCGTATTCGGGGTACTCGTGTAGGGGTACCGTAAACTGCTGACCGATGTATCCGGGTATTTCCAATGTACCCGGGGTACTTAAGTAGGGGGAATATTTTGTATTGGTGGGGGGTGAGTTGTACCCCCCAAAGAAATTGCTAGAGATTTATTTTTCCGGGGACCGTTGCAAATGTAGATGTGATCTGCATGTTTTTGGTAGTTGATTCTATTGATGGAGAGACATATAATGAAGTAGAAGGTTATGAAAATGATTGGGCAAGCGAAGAATAATTAGAAATATTAGATAAATAAAATTTTGTTGTTGTACCCGGGTATTCCCCATTGTATGGAGGTATAATTCTTTGAACTATACTATGTACAATACTCGGGTATAAATCAAAAATCGGACTCAAAAATCAATACTAATACAGGATATAAATCATAGGGGGGTATACTAGTCAGCAGTTTACGGTATATCGTACAGATATATCTTTGATTTTAATTGGCTGCTTTTATTTATCAAAAATCGTCGGTGTGCTGGATAATGCCAAAATACACGGGTAAGATATTAACGAAGATTTGTTAAGGTTGTTAACAACATGCAACTTTGACAAAGAAGATATTAACCTTCCAATGGAGGCGCATGACATGCTTGATGACTTTATACAGTCATATGAGCATTTGGAAACTGATGCTAGTCCCATAAGAATACTCCCAATCAGTTTCCCACAACATTGCGCAGTCCGTTTTTTATTAAAATTGACGTAACAAAAATAATCGATTTTGGTATCAATTGAAAGCTCTGTTTCTTCATTGTCCGATTGATTTGCGTCATTTAGTATCAGCTGATGAAAGTGGAAGTGATAAACCAATTTTTTCTAATAATTGCTCTTTTTATTTTGGGAAGAATTTCAGTTGACCGAACGCCTGTATTATGTATTACGGGAAAGGGCGAATGAAATTTACTGCAGCATTGGCAAGTTCAGCATTATAGGTATTTATTTCGGCAATTGAACTGTCAGCAAGCGTCTTTGAGACTGCTCTTTTTAAAATGCCAAAGACAAAGTTGGATGTTTGGTTGAGGGCCAGACTTGGCATGCCTTCATCTGTTAGGGAAAAAATCTGGACTTGCAATCCCTTTTCGTGCAAATCCTCAAAAACTCAACAAAGATTGATGTTCGAACACTATATACATAATCTTTTTTGCATTTTCTAAAAACCAATACGCCATTAGATGTCCAGCTCCATTAACCTGTCCCAAGAATAGCATATAGTTCGAACCTAGAGAAGGAAGTTAAAAACATAACCATAAAATGATAGCATAACGTAAAAAGAATCGTATGTCATTATACAGTGTATACCGTTGTCATTTAGATTCACATTTTTCATACTCCATAGCCTTGAAAACGCGTGACGATGAGTAAGTATCATCACGATAAAATATTTGCATTTGCATTCTTGGCCGATAATGCTGTATCTCGTCTGTAAAAATACGCCAAGTTATGGTTACAGAAAAGTCAAAAAGTGCGCACATATCTGTGCTAAAATCTCGGCTAGTAGGTGACGATCCGATTTACAATAATTATAATGTTATCAGACGTGATCTAATAACAGGCATCACGAAGTGAAAGCTGATGTCAGCAATCAGTAACCTGGCATTACGTGTAACTCAAACAGTCACGACAAAATTTGTCAAAAAATTAGAAAGCAAAAGTTCTGAAATTTACCAAAGGGATTAAATCTCGTATTACAAAAAGTAAGAATCACCTGCATTGTCGTAACGAGCCGCATTAGACTTGATTGGGATTAGCCGTTAGCATTATGCACGTCGTACAATGTTGGTTCAGAATACCAATTCACATGAAAACTCCCCGATTGGTCAAGGTTAATAGCTAGCACGAGATATCATCAAGGAGTTTGAGAAGTTTGTGGTTTGCAAACGTTAGATATGGAGCCGCAAATCGTATACTATCCACGACCAGAATACATAGAAACGGTGAGTTTTCGTAATGGTATCCGAACAGTGAGCACTGATTTATTAGAATGATTACGTGTAGGATACTGGAAACAAGGTCAGCCGTAAAAGTGTAATATGTGGCAGTCAGAATATAATTCTAGGCGGTAAGGTAAGGAAGAATGTTCGTTTATACAAACCTTGTTACGTTGTTTTATATATTAACATGCATATACTGCGCTCTTCAAAGACCATAATCCAGACTGACTGTGTGATTCGTGGAGATTTACGACGTACTGGTGTTGGGCATGCAGTAGTAGTTGCCATCGGAAGATATTGTCTCTTATCCAGAGGCAGCATAATACGTCCACCGTATAAAACATACAAGGGGTAAGACGTGTCTCTATTGCTCATGATTTAGTCAAGAACGTTCGCAACGGTCATCGTTTGGTACTTATGCACTTATTATTCGCACATAGAATGTTCAGTTACTACCCGATGAAGATTGGTGACCACGTCACAATTGGTGAAGGGAGTATTGTGGAGGCGGCTACAATAGGTTCCTTTGTTCATATTGGAAAAAATTGCGTGATCGTGAGTAATTCTATAAACATTGTCCAATGTCAGAAATATGTATTAAAACCCAAATTAATTTGAATAGGGAAGATTTGCCATTATCAAGGACTGCTGCCGTATTGAGGATAACACGGTAATACCGCCGAATACTGTCGTACCTTCATTCTCCATCTACGAGGGATCTCCTGGTACGTCTATGACGACTTGATGACTGTCGCACACAATGTCATGACAAATCTCTATAGACTTGTTTCCATTTAATTAATTCGTTTCCGCTGCTTAGGCGTTTGTGTCGACGAACTCCCCGAGTGTGTCCAAGACTTGTACGAATCGCAAACCAAAGACTTTTACACGAAATTCCAACCTTCAAATTGAAACGACACTTCTCGAGCTCGTCACTCTCGCTATCACAGATCCCACCGACATCGCAATAGATATTATTACTCGTCGTCTTCCTCCTCTTCATCTTCATCTTCCTCCTCCTCATCGTCTTCTAGTTCATACGACTCCTCTCCTTTATTTTCCCGAAGACTTCAAAGATCCCAACGGCAGTCACATGTAGTTCGGAAATATAGTAATGATGAGATGAATCTGCTTAATATATTGTTAATATTTATTGTGGTTTTGCAGGCGTTATTGATTAGGAAGCTATTTTTTGAACCCTTGTCTGTAAATCAGTCTGCTGCGAGCACAACTACGACAACGGCTACTGTGACTGCAACTGTTACTACTACAGCTACGGTTACTAAAATATTGGACGATTGTAATTGAATAGTCTTTTTTTTCTCTAGCTTATCACGCATTCAGTATTATCTAAATATTTACATTGATTATTAGCTTTCGAAAAACGCAAATACAGTACATGTTAACAAAACAAAATCAAGGGGCGAGTCCTGTTCTCCGTTGGACTTTATAATTAGTCGTAATACGCTTCTCCCCCATCTGCATCTTCTAAGTCGTCATAAAATTCATCCTCGCCATTGTCAAAGTATGACATCACATAGTCAGTCTCTTCCTCGTATTCATCTTCAGCCTCCGCCGAAATCTCAAAGTCGGGTTCTACCACTTGAGTATCAGCCTGTGCGAATAGTCCCTGTATGTCAATATACGCACACTTGGATAAGAAAGTTTAAGAATCTGAACACAACTCACTCGATCTCTTCCCCCTTCCTCGGTCTCGTCTTTAAGGAATTGATCGAGTTGTGCGCCAACGTTGATTTCTGATCTCTGCGTCGTATCTGTATATATAAACGTTAAATGTTGCAATGGAATACCAAATATATAGCAAATGAATGACAAACCTGTCAAAATAGTTGATGTTTTACTATTATCATAGACGCTATGCAGCTCTTCAGGGAAAAAGCCCAAATCTTATATATAGCAAAGTTTGTCAAATTAGCAAGTAATCGCTTCGCTTTACTAGGACAAAATCTGTGTCTTGGACCATATAACACATTAGACTACTAAAGTAATTACACGCAGTTGTATTACCTGCAGTTATTTCTTTTAACGTTCTCGTCTCTCTTACAGATTTTAGACAATCGGAGTATCGTTGGACAGCTAATATAAACAGCGAAGGGTTTAATACAAGTTACATTCAAGAATTATCTACTTCAGAAATAAATTCACAACGAACCCGGTTTAGACACAGGTCTAGACAGATGATACGGTGTCAACTTTAACAAGTTCTTATATTCTGCCATTGCAACAACGGCTGACAGTTCATTTTCAGTTGGACGTCGCGGGTGAGGCAACTCAACCTCCTAATGCAAACTTAAGATTAATCCAAATGCCTTTATAGAGCATAAGTAAGACTTGTAAATGATCTTACCGGAAACAGACCCGACGGTTCTCGTGCTTTATAGACTTGATGCAAATCATTCCAAGAGATGCCTTCGATTGGTCCAGGACGAGACCCTTGGGTAGATCCGCTACCTCTAGTGACGGTCGTTCTAGTTCCTCGTCCCCTACCTCTGCCTGGTGGCATCCGTACGATATCAACAATGGCTGAATTACATAGTAAAAAAAAGCATTCGATTGGCCTATTATCGTTTACTATCAGATTATCAGATTATATCACAAAAGCCCTACCCAATCAACAAAGTGCATGCGATGCTCTTTAACTTTTGCCACGCGTTACGATGGCTGACAGAGGATGGGCAACATTGGGTGACTGCCTCAACAAGCGGATGCAAGTAAACGAATTCGGGTTTTATTATTACCAGTTATGTTTGTCGACTATTTAGTTAATCTAAATAGTGTAGTTCGTTGAGTTTACGCATCAGTCAATTTGTTGTTATTGGCTTAACGCTGTTTTTAAAGTCTTTTTATTTCGTCAAGTAGCTTTTTTTTTAAACCCCCCCCCCCCCTCGAATTTCCCAATCTGTATTTTGACATTGAAAAATAACAATTTGGCTGCATTTAACGCGAATAATTACAAATAAAAAATGCTCTAAGAGATTGCTTCTTTTATACAGCAACATAGGTGAATATGTGAAGAAATTGTTGAGCTCGACCTTTACGTATAGTACGAGTACAACTAGATGCATGCGTCATAAACATGATTATTAGAACATGTTGAAAAATGGCTTTTATTCGAGAACGAAACGGATAATTATTGGAGCAATCGCAATTCTGGGATAATATATTATCCTTGCCGTCCATACACAGAATCCAAAATTGGAAGGTGATACTCGACGCAATTGGAAATCTTACGTGCGGTTAAATTATGAAAGTGCACTCTTTAGTTTATCCCTGGTGAAGGAAAAAATTTCCCATTACCATTTGAAGACTTGTCGTTGGAATACAAGATTACAAATCAACGCAGAATCTGGCTTAGTCACTAAATTTGTACAGTTCCCTGTCAAGAATATTTGCATTTTTGCTTCCGTGATAACTACACTTTAATGGTTTGTTTGTCGGATATTGATGAGGAAGCGGTTATGCACTATTAAGCATGCGTTTGGGACCGAACATTGGTTGATACAGAATCATACATTCATATCGCTATTAATATAAATCAAATTAATTAAAAGATTGTCAATGTATTACGAAGCTGTATTCGGAATTGGTACACTTGCAATCAAAACGTATAATTCTAGCGTAGTACAGCCCCAAAAAACTCTGTTTGCAATCAGATATCCCGGATTGACGAGATAATCTTAGCAGCAGATGTATGGAAATTTGTTTTATGTAATGGTCACTTGTAAACCAGTAAATGATTCTAATGCTAATGGAAAAAAATCTTATATACTAATACGTACGATGTATGTTCAACCTATACCAATGTTCATTTCATCCAATGTCCAACATAAATCCTCCCAATATACATCCTCCTAGCATGCATCCAGCATGCATCTTCCCAGCATACACCCTTCCAGCATACATCCTCCATCCCCGCCATCCTCTCTCCCACCAATATCCTGTGATTGCCATTTGTAACTTGCTCTATGTGCCAGTAATATAAAATACATAATATCAACTGTCAATCGAATATACAATTACTATTGGTTTTATTAAATTACTTTTGTAATATGAATATAATGCTAATTGCATCATGACGGAGATTGATTGTTCGGTGATTGTGGCGGTGCAGGAGGCGCTCGGTGAGGTGAAGGTATGCGATCAGATGGCGGATTAGATTGAGAACTTTGAGTGGATGGTTGCGTAGATGTCGCTTGAGGTACAGGTGTCGAACATGATGTGAACGCTGGAGGAGGTGCTAGTAGATTGGTCGGAGAATTGCGTTGAGACGATGGCGAAGATGCAGATTTAGATGATGTAAATCCAAAGAACCAACTCGTCGGTGAACGAGAAGATGATGTTGACGACACCGATGCAGTTCTCCGTGATGTATTATTGTTGCTACCATCATCCACTACTATTGCAACTGACTCGCTTGTATCGCTCCCTGTAGTGTATGGCGGTGGCAAACCCGCACCTTCTAATGCCACACTATATGTGGGAGGAGGATTTGCCACTTCCTCGGTTGCTGTTGTTTCTGCTTCTTCATCTTCAGGTCTAGCACCATTATTAGATGCCCATCGCCGAAGCCTATCACGCATACCACCTAAACGATAGTTGGCGAATGTAGTATATGGTGGGTTTGTTGATATGTGCGAATTAGATGAGCCTCGAGAATGTGCAGATTGAGCCGAAGAATCGTTTTGTGGTTGCGCGGTAGGTGCAATAGCCATCTCTGGTGTTGTCGGTTGGTCTGTTCTTTCGCCATAGCAGTTAGTCCGTACAGTTAACTATAGTTCAAATATTGGGTTAGGTAGTTAGTACTTACTTAATACGTATTATAATATGATACTTGTAGTAAGGAACACTAGGATATTTGGTAGGCAAAGGATGATTTGTAGCCATCACCTTTATCAAGCGGTGATGATATTTTCGTTCTATTACAACTTTTCACCACTAAACTATTCCCTCAAACAAAGCGCCAGACCAACTTTCCCACCTCGGTGACGACAACGTCTGCCAAATGGAATATACACTCCACTTACCCAGTATATTGCATATGACACTAATAGTGCGATGAATATTATTATTATCCCGGATATTGAAAGTTCATCGGTAAACAAGTGGCATAGAGGCAGCGCGACAGCCAGTATAAGTACAAGTCCAATATAAACTCTGTTCACATAGCGGTGGAAGCGTGGATACTTGGAAGGCATGTCTCGTTATATTTTGGTTTTGATAGTCGTTCTTAATAAAGTTATACTCCTCCTCTATATAAAGCGGTAATCGTTTAAAAAAGCTTGCCAACTGGGCTCTTCTTTCAGAGTTTTTGCCTTCGGGGCATCTGTGGCATCAGCACAAAACGCATGAGATTTGGCGAGAAAAAAGGAGTGACGACCACAATAAAAGGCTAAAAAGTTCGAGAGTAAAGATAGATTTCCCATGGTTGACATGCCATATTAATAATTTATTCAGTTGCCAATTAAGTCAGCCTTCGCCTAACTTCAATACTCCTAATGTTCGATTGTTTCCTAAATCGAATTATCATTTGTTAAAACAGTCGCCTAATAGGGCGATTGGTGTAACTTTATAGTAGATACTTATTGTCTGAAAACAGCAGAATCAATGCCTTAATTTTTAGTAAGGCGATGGTAAAAATGATGGGTGGTGTGGTATCAGTATTAGTCTCAGCAGTAGTACTGGATTAATGTGAAAGTACATGTGAGATAGCAAGGATAGTCTGGCGCAAATGACTAAATGGCTGACCTTTTCTGTAAGTTACACCAGAAGATAACAGTAATGGTACCACAACGTTCTCATTTACAGTCTATTGTCTCCATCGATCCAATATGAAAAATCGGTTGATTCGAAAATCTCTATAGTATGATTTAGGGAACTGTTGCGTGTACCTTTGGACGATGAATTAAAATGTGTATTAATAGCTTAAAATCCCTTATCTTCACGTGTCTACTAGATCCATTTTTGCTTTGCTCACCCGATCTGTCTCTACGTGGCCCCCCGGAATGGAAAATCCATGTTATGAACGCGCATGAACAAATTACCGATCGCTATTGCAAAATGCAAATGGGGTCTTGCAACATAATGATGTTGATTGCATTTAAAGAAAAAAATTCTAACGTAGAAAACTGTCGAGATATTAATATGAACTTTTTTTTTATGACCATATATCGCGCCAAGTAAAGCATTCAGTATTTTTGGTAAGGTAGAGAAAGTACGTGTGTGACTCAATTCTCTACTACGATCGGCAAAAGCCTCAAGCAAATAATACGTCATGGTGACATGTCCGGATTGCGCTAGCGATATATAATTTAGCGTTATCGTTATACACTCACTGGACAAAAGTCTACGTAATTTTTGTCGATCACATAGTAAAACATATGAAAAATCTATTTTTTC